TGTGTCTTAAAGGCGATGAAAAGTGGTTGGTTCCCGTCCCTATCCCTGAAATAAAAAAGAGGGGCAATTCTATGGGATCATTACCACCGAAGCCGTGTATTTGTGGTAATATATGTGAATAGTTCTCCTTTATACAATTCTCTTGTAATTTATTAAATGGTATTTTTATTTTGTAGTTTTCTTGTATTTTCTTGGTTTTTATTTTTTCCGGTGTAATGAAGATGAAAATAAAACAGTTGGGATGGTAGAAATTCCTCTACCCATCACGCCATTCACTCATTCACTCACTCACACCCACATACACAAACAAAATCAAGAATGTTGTTCTTTTATACCCCATTTTTTTTTTTTTTTTATTTATTGTTGTTTTTTTTTTTTTTGTTTTGGGTGCGATGTGTTGTTATTGGTGAAGCGTTTCACTATCCAAAATTACCGCAGTTCACTCTCTCTCTATGCGTAATTATTATTATTATTATTATTGAGGGGAGAATAGTGTCACTTGTCGCTCGAAACATTTTTTTTCTCGATCTCTCTGATTATTCCATGATTGTTTCATTCTATTTTCCTTTTCTCCGTATGTTTTCACCATCATACACATTTAACAAAATAGAAGAAACATACCATAGAAAGAAAGAAAGAGAAAAGGAAAAAAAAAAAAGAAACGAAGAAATAGGCATTAAGATAAAGTCTATATAGGGCGTAACCATGACGGAGAAAACTGTATACAATGCCCTCCCGAAGCTTCCCGGGTTTAACTTCCCGGAGCTGCACGCCCCTACATCCTACAGGCGGCAGCACTACTGTGTCGTGCAGGACGGCACTCGAAGTGTCCTCAACCCGAACACCACCGGCACCGGCGCGGGCAGCAGTAGCAACAAGAAACAGACACAGAAAGGGGAATGCGGCGGTCTCGAGCGAAACGATATTCTCGCAAGGTTTCCAGAGTGGAAGTCATTAGACGATAAGGTCCTTCGCTACTTTGCCTACTACATGGAACGTGTAGATGAAAGTCCTGTAGAAAAGATTCGTGTTCGTAAAGTAGTAATTTATTTGTATCTTGCCGATGGAAGTATTGCCGTGACGGAGACACCTGCTGTGGTGAATAGCGGTCTCCGTCGGGGTACCACGGTCTCACGTTGCAAAGTGGATGGAGTGGATTTCTTCTCTCTATATATTGGTTCTACTATTCAAATAAGAGGTTTGGAATATACAATTGTTGACTGTGATGCCGCCACACGAGAATTTTGTGCAACGATGGAAATGCCGCAGCCGGAGCCTATCAGTTATCCAGATGATGCATTTGAGGCAACTGTTACAGTTAAGAAATCCCCAATGGATGAACAACACATTGCGATGCGACGCACCATGGAGATTATGGCAGCCACTGCAGCAGGAACTCACGCAAGTCTTCTTACACCAGAAGAACGTCACAAGGCTCGAGATTTTTTTGAGCATGATCGTGAAGTTTTATCCTTCTCAGCCGTATGGGAACAGCGACTCTTTAGAATTCAATACTACATTGCAGACCAAACACTTTCAGTTATGCTCGTACATGCCCGAAATGATGGACGTGATCCCTATTCCGTCTTTATCAGACGTACACGAATTCCTAAAGAAGCCAGAGCGATATTAAGAGATACAGAAACTTTAAATGTACCTGCTGGTTCCCCAGTGGTGTATATATCTGAAGATGACTTACGAACGGGTCATACCGTAAATTTATTTACCAGAGATTTTTATATTTTTGACTGTGATTCTTATACAAAGGCTCATTATGAGGGAAAAGGAATCCGTCAACCAAGTTTTCCAAAACCTACAACAGAAGCAGAAATTCTTGCGTCAACTATTAAGCGACCACAAGTGGTAAACTCATCCTCGACAAAAGAAGCACCACGTGGGGCCTCAACTATGGTTTTTGAAGATACCGTCGCGCAGAAAGATCGTCTTAAATTAACTCGTTACACTAATGATGTATTTCGTTTTTCTGCTCGTTATGCAAATCCTAAACCAGAAGATGAAGGCAGACAATTTGTATTCTGTTATTACCTCGCAGATGATACAGTGTCTGTGTATGAACTTGTGGTAGCTAACAGTGGTCACGTTGGTGGAAAATGTTTTGCCCGCACTACCGTCCCTGATATCAGTGAACCCGGTAAACTGTATGTGGGTGCTAAAATAAAACTTGCAGGAGTGGAGTATGAACTTACAGAAATGGATGAACGTACTAGACGGTATATTGCAATGGGAATGCCTCTTATGGATGAAAGTTTCTTTCATACACGAGATTTGGTCAATCGAGCACGTCAAGTTGTTCTTCAGCGTTTTTCGAGGTTAACTGACGCTTTTCGTCACTTTAAATCAAAAGAAGATGGATTAACATGTGATGATGTAAGACGTCTTTTCGTGGAATGTGGTATACGATTAGATGCCACGGAACTTAAGAACGTTATGGAAAACCTTGACCAAGACAAGGATCAAATTGTCTCATTATCAGAATTCTGTGAAAATCTATTAGGACAACAGTTCGTCTCTGATTTTGTTCCAAAGAATGAAAAAAGTATCGATATTGGTAAAGGATCACTTCTTACAAATCGAGATTTAGATTCAAATAAGACAATGGCAAAAGAAGGAGAGGAGGCACTGCGAAAATTGATCTCACAAAGTGAAGCTCGTCGGGTACTTCTTATTAGGGCCTGTAAAATTGTAGCAAACACTACGTACGATGGTCAACTCAGTATTATAGATTTTGCAAACACGATTAAGGATCGATTGAATCTTTCCTTTTCGGATAAGGAAATGGATGCCCTCGTCTATAAATTTTATTACTCTCAAGGAGTCCCTGATTGGAGAGCGAGGCGGTTACCAGTAAAAGAAATTCAGCGACTTGTCATGCTATAGGGTTCTTTTGCTTTTAAAAAAGATAAAAGAAAAAGATTCACTCCATTTCTAATCTTTTTTTTTTCGCATGTGTGTGTATCTGTGTCTGTGTCTGTGGTTTTTCCCCAGTATGTATGGTAGTGTGAGAGGCAACTCTTTCTTTTTTTTTTCCTTTTATAAATGTCACATGTAAAACTGATTTGTCGGATGGAAAGATTTAATGGGAGAGCAATTCAAGCTATCTAAAGAAAAAAGAAAAAGAGTGCGAGACAGCTTCTCCATGTTGGATGTAGTAAGTTTTTTTTTCTTTTTTTTTTTTATATATCTGTGTGTATATGGTCTAACCAATTATACATACGTATATATATATATATATATATATATATATATATGTACGTCTGTGTATATTTATCTTCATATGTGTGTTTGTTTGTTTTTTTTTTGCTGCTTTTATTTTTCTTTTTCTTCTAAGAAGACAGAGTGGTCTGCAGAGAAAGCAGAAAAGGGGAGAGAAGAGAAGGGGGAAAAGAAAAAAGAAATGAACTTTGTAGCTGATCAACCACGGCCTTTGGACGACTTTATCGCCATAACAGGTCTCAAGAAGACGTACGCAAAGGAGTGTTTTGATCGCTTTGGTGGTTACGCCCCGGCATTGGCTTCATTCGCACAATCTTACGCTTTGCTGCCCAAGACGTACTTTGATCGTCTAGATGTTGCGAAATCAAATAAGCGGATAATTAACGAGGAACTAAAACTTATTTATAAGAGGGCAAGGAAGCTTCAGGCTCAGTTAAAAGATAAGACTGTGGAAGAAGTCTGGGCATCCTATTATACCACCCCAACCCCATTGGCTATTGCAACACAGTCCAATCCTACAGTTGAACGAAGTAAAAAGGCAGTAAAGTATTGCAAACCTTCACATTTCACTGGACCACTTCTTTCAATGCCTCTTTTTTGGAAAGAGGAAATGGAAGGAAATTGTTCCTTGATAAACCTCAATAAGGAAACACTTGAACACAGAGGATGTGCTCTGCGCAAGAAATTACTGCCTTGGGTAATTGCGGCAGCCTCGCATCGTAAATCTGTTCAATATGTTGAAATTGATTATGGTGATGAAACTGTTCGTGGTATCATAAAGGATGCAGAGCGTACCTTTTTTCATCCTGATCATCGCAAAAAATTTGTAGCTTTTCTTAATGCCATGTTTCATGAATTTAAATCGTATGATCAGCCTATGAGCTATTTAGCTGGACTCTGTTTGTTAGTTTTAAATGAGGAAGAAACAGCGGCGGTGCTTCGTTATGTTTCAAGTATTTCTCTTCCTCCCCTTTGGTCTATGGAAGTTGTTGGTTATACAACTGCTGCCTTGGTTGTGCAAAATTTAATTCAAACACCATCTTCATTATGTATATCAGATGATAAAGATGAAAATACCTCCATGTACAGTATTTTGAAATCCATTCTAAAAGTATTTTGCGTTGAAACAGTAAACGCAAAAGAGATGTTTGGTTTCTTTGAGTTGTTAATGAAGGAAATTCAGGGCTTTTCAAAAATCGAAAATCAAAAGGTACACTAAATTCTGTTTCCCTTTATATTCCCTTTTCTTTCCTTCCTTCCTTCTTTTCTCTGGTTCCGTCTCCCTATCTTGGAAGGGTAGGGAGTGGTTTGTATTTTTCTTGCTTTGATGTTTTGAGATAGTAGGGACCAGTGAAATTGGAAATGAGATGCTAATGAGATGAATATTCTTGTTCTTCTTCTTATTGCTGTTTTTTTTTTTCCCACTTTTATTATTATTCTCTCTTCTGTGTATATTTATCTTCATTTGTGTTTTTCTTTTTTTCTTCATTTTTTTTTTTTTTTTTGCTGCTTTTATTTTTCTTTTTCTTTTTCTTCTAAGAAGACAGAGTGGTGTGCAGAGAAAGCAGAAAAGAGGGGAAAAGAAAAAAGAAATGAACTTTGTAGCTGATCAACCACGGCCTTTGGACGACTTTATCGCCATAACTGGTCTCAAGAAGACGTACGCAAAGGAGTGTTTTGATCGCTTTGGTGGTTACGCCCCGGCATTGGCTTCATTCGCACAATCTTACGCTTCGCTTCCAGATGAATACTTTGATGAGAAGGAGAAGACGGTAAAGAACGCTGATAGTATTAACAGAGAACTAAAACTTATTTATAAGAGGGCAAGAAATATAAAGTCTCATTCTGGAAAAGGGGATAAGGGTGTCTGGGGCGCATACTATAATCACCAACTCACACCAGAAGCTGGAAAGGAACAGAAATCATCAGATGCTGCTGGTACCAAAGTAGAGACACAGTCAAAGATCTTTGGATCGGCCTTCGGTATTACGAACACTAATACTAACACTAATACTAATGCTAATACAAATACCGCTGCGCCAGCGTCAAGTGCGTTTAATTTCGGATTTGGCTCCGCACCCCCTGCGGCCTCTTCTTCTTCTCCTTCAACAGGATTTTCCACCACCAGTCCGTTTTCATTTGGGGGTTTTGGACAGGCAAAGAAGGAAGAAGTAATTGAAAAACCAAAGGAAACACATCAGGAAAGGGAGGTAAAGTATTGCGAACCTTCACATTTTACCGGTCCTTTCTTTGAAATGCCCCTTTTTTGGAAAGAGGAGGTGGAAGAACGTTGTCCTTTGTTAAATCTTAATAAAGGTTTTCTTGAGGCAAATCGTGATGTTCTGCGCAAGAGGTTAGAGCCCTGGTTAAAGAAGGCTGAATTCTTTTTGCAACCTGTTCAGTATGTTGAAATTGATAATGATGATGAAGAAACCGTTCGAGTCATTATAAAGGATGCAGATCGTACCTTTTTTCATCCTGATCATCGCAAAAAATTTGTAGCTTTTCTTAATGCCATGTTTCATGAATTTAAAGCTTATGGACAGGCTATGAGCTATTTAGCTGGACTCTGTTTGTTAGTTTTAAATGAGGAAGAAACAGCGGCGGTGCTTCGTTATGTTTCTAAGACTTATATTCCCGGTCATTGGGCAGCGGAGGCCGTTGGATTTGCCTCCACCGCGTGGGTTGTGGAACACTTTATGAAGGAGTTATTCCCAGATGTGGCAGAGCACCTTAAGGAATTAAAAATTTGGCCGGACACTTACCTCCAAAAGATTCTTACTGGTCTCTGTGTACATGTTCTTGATTTTAAGGAATTATTCAATTTTCTTGATCTCTTTATGGAGGGAGGGATGAAATTCCTCATCAAGTTCTCTCTCGCGGTTGTGGAACACTTCCGCAGTGATCTTCTTAAAGTTCAATCCATGAATGACATTAATGAAGTATACGAAATTATGCGTCTTGACCCAAAGGTTGCCGACACCAGCGATATAAGAGATATTCTTAAGCGGGCGCCACTCATTGATCTTGGCGCAGAAGGTGACTCTATTGATATTGTGCGTTCACGCGTGTATGATGCGCACGTGGCCCCACGTCTGCAGAGAGCACCAAAGACAGAGGCATTTGAACCATGTGAAGTGTGTAATAAACGTAAACCAAAGTGGTGGAATGATGATCTTGGTGCGGTATGCAATGAGTGCAAGGAGGGAGCACCAGAATTAACTTATTCGGTCTACTAAACATGTGAGAAATCTTCGAGAGAAGGGAGGAAAGAAAAAAAAAAAAAAAAAAAACAGAGAAAAAAAAAAGAAAAAAAAAGAGGAGAAAGATGATGAAAACAGAAAGAAAAAAAAAAAAAAAAGAAGCCATAAAGAAGTACCAACGAAAGACGAAGAAAATGATATGAAAGGGAGTCTACCTGTGTGTGTGTGAATATTTGTGTGTGTCTATGTCCTTCTTCTTCTTTCTTTTTTTTCTTTGGTATGTATACGTATATGTAAATCTGATTTTTCTGTGTTGTGTGTGATATATACTGTACATTTTGTTATAAAAACGTTTTTATTTCTTTTGTTTTTCTTTTGTTTTTAGGGGAAAAGGAAAAGGATCTTGCAGTTGCAATGTTGGTACCTTCTCTCTCTGACCTCCTTTCCAATGAGGTGGACGATAATATCTATTCTTCACTTGAATTTTTGCCTCCACGGACTGAAAAGGGGGAAGAAAAACTCTGGAATGAACACCTTCCTCATTTCATGAAAACGAATCCTCTCTTTGTGGATATAACTTGGGGTGCTGGTGGTCGCACAAGCGATAAAACAATGAGACTCTCCAAGCAAATTCAGGAAAAATATGGTATTCCAGTTAATATGCATATCACATGTACAAATATGCCAACTGGATTACTAAAGGAAACTCTTAACTTTTGTTATGAGAATGGTATACGAAATATTCTTGCCCTTCGTGGTGATCCTCCTGAAGGTGAGGAGTGGAAACCAAATGAAGAGGGATTTACATGTGCATTGGATCTTGTAAAGTTTATTCGAAATACTTATGGAGACTACTTTTGTATTACTGTGGCTGGTTATCCAGAGGGTCACCCAAGTCGTATCCATGGCGAAGATGGGAAAATTACCGATGAGGAAATGGAGAAGGAATTAAACTATCTCAAGGCAAAAGTGGATGCAGGAGCTAATGTCATTATTACTCAACTTTTCTATGATGCTGAAATATTTATTGTATTTGTTAAAAAATGTCGCAATTATGGTATTACAGTCCCCATACTCCCTGGAATTCTTCCTATTTCCTCTTATCGAAGTTTAACTCGAATGATAAACCTTTGTAAAACCTATGTACCTCCATCTGTTTTGGAGCAAGTGGTGAAGCTCAGTGAAGATGATGAGGCGCTTCGGACGTATGGGGTTTCACAAGCTGAAGAAATGGTACATGCGATTCAAGCGGCTGATATTGGAATTAAACACTTCCATTTCTACGTTGTCAATGCCCCTGATGTAACTAAGCGCATTTTAGATGCATTGAATTTCACCCCATAATCGTTTTCACATGGTATCATGTGAAAAACAATGCCCTTTCTTATTTATTTATTTATTTATTTATTTTTTGGTTGTTTCTTCTTTCTCTCTCTTTTTTTTTTTTTTGCTTTTCCTGTATGTTTGTGTGTTGTTGTTAGGGATGATAATAGTGCACTTTTATGCTTTTTTTTTTTGCTTTGTTAAGATGGGGGTATCCCCATCATGGTTTTATTATTATTATTATTATTATTATTATTATTATTTGGACCATATGTTCTTGTTCAGTATATTATGACTCTAGTATTAATATGTGTGTCTAAGACTATATTTGCAGAATACTTTTTAAAGGTGGTTCCCAAGTCCCTATATCTTCTTCACATAACGAGAGAGGGAGAGTGGGTGGGGGAGAAATGCTACTTTGTGGACAATACCTATGGGTATGGTGTGCGTGTTTTTTTTTTTTTTTCTTATTTTATTGTTCTTGTGGCTGCTGATTACCGAGTTTATTTTTATTTTAGGGGGTAACCCAATATCTATGTGTCTAGTACCATTTGTGGTTAATGTGTGATCATATTTAGATTTCATAAATGGGAGAGTTTTTTTTTCTTGTGTGTGTGTGTGTGTCTAGTTTGGTTTTTCTTTGGTGTGCAGATATTGTCTACACCGTCTCTGATTCTCTTGTTTTTGTCTCTAGAGATACCGTGTTGGGGTTGGCGAGTATTTATTGTTGTTGTTGTTGTTTTCTCTCTTGTCATCTCAGTTCCCTCTACACATATATCGGAGTCCGGCAGTTGTAGGGACCCCGTAAGAGACTTTTAGTTAGTATCTTTACAATGAGTTCAGATGTCATAATTTGTTTTTTTCTTTTTTTTTTTAGGTTTCTTTCATTGATGACTTTAAATATAATAAATATCATGTAAATAGAAGAAATATCCGGTCCACTGGATATAATCTTCTTCTTCTTTCTTAGTTAAAAAAAAAAAGAGTGTGGTCGAGACTATTAAAGGTGCGTAGTCATTTTATGTATCGAAAAAATCTTCCTTTCTTTTTTTTTTTCCTCGTTTTGATGTCATCCATTCCGTTTTTAAGAAAAAAAGCGGGAAGGATTCTGTCTTCCCATGAGATACACTTTTCTTGACAACCTTCTTTTATCATTTATCAATTTCTGTACACAGACACAAACAGAGATGAGTCTCTTTAATCTTTACCTTTATGATGAAGGGGTAAGTGTGCAGTTTTTATCTGATATGGAGAACTCAAAAATCTCTTCTCTCTTATCTTTTTTTTTTTCTTTACTCCTCTTTCTTTCTTTCTTGATTTCTTTAGATTTATTTCTTTTTTTTTTTTAGTATATTTTCCTTAAAAGACTATTTTTGTGTTTTCCGCTGGGTTATATATATATATATATATATATATATATATATTATTTTCCGTTTAACCAGAATAGAGAAACAGAAAAGAAATAAAATAAAAAAATAGGTCAACTATAGATAACTCTTAGTGGAATATTTATTTAACGAAAATGGTTGAGAGAGACGAAGAAGACGTACATGAGATGGATGAATTTCAGGGTACTGTTTTAGGATCCTGGCGCTCCATGAGTGTCAAAGCCAGATCTTTTTTGGTGGGATTGTTTTTGGTAAGTATAGTTGCAGTTCTTGTTTTTGCAGGAATTGTAAGTAGTTCATCCATGGCTTTCCCTGCAGGACCACTTTCTTCTGGACAAATCATGGTATTTATTCTCTGTATATTTGTTATTGCTTGGTCCGCATTGGATACTCTCTTTCGGCGGATGTTGGGATCCTCAGATTTATGCCCAAATATGGAATCTCGAGCTATACTTCGAAGTGGTGCTGAATTCAGTGGATATCTTTTGCTCTTCTTTATTTGTGATCGCACGACATTATTTCCAAGAATGGAGAAGTGGTATTCCGCTGATAGTTTCTGGTTTTTATGGATTGCTTTGGTTGCCATTTCTTTTTGTACATTTACTAAAGCCAAAACTCCTTCATCTCTTGTAGTGAATGGACAACACACTCCAGAAAATTTTCACGTTCCTCCTTTAGCAAGGAATCAAACAGAAGAATGGAAAGGATGGATGCAAGTACTCTTTCTATGGTATCATTATTTTCATAACGTAAGTATTTACAACAGTATTAGACTTTTTATTGCAGCATACGTATGGATGACAGGTTTTGGTAATTTTTCCTATTATTATGTGCGAAAAGATTTTTCACTTAGTCGTTTTTGTGAAATGCAATGGAGACTTAATTTTCTTGTTGCAGCTACATGTTTAATGTTGGGAAATGAGTATATGCTTTATTACATATGTCCCCTTCATACACTTTTTACACTTATTATATATGGAAGTCTTTGGTATTATCAAGAATTAAATTCTACGAATCGGGGAATAATTATAAAGGCTTCTATACTTTTTGTTCTTTGTTTTTGTCTTTGGGATGTGTCAGAGCAATTTTTCTGTATTCTATGGACACCTTTAAAATGGCTTGTGCGGTATGATGATCCATACCGTCCTCAACGTGAAGTTATGTCAGAATGGTATTTTCGTACATTTCTTGATCATTATGTATGGATATATGGTATGTTATTTGCTTATTGTCATCCAAGATACGATAGTTATCTTAAACGTATTGATGAAATGCCTAAATATATTAGCTGGTTGATTAAATCTATTATTGTTACGATTTCATTATTTATTGGCTATTTTTATGTGGTACAAGTATATCTTCTACCAAAATCTCAATACAATGGTATACATCCATATACTTCATTTATTCCCATTACAATTTACATTATTCTTCGAAACCTTTTTATGCGAGCACGTCTTTATCATATCGAACTTTTTACTGCCTTAGGGAAGGTTACCCTAGAATCTTATATATCACAATTTCATATTTGGATGGTTACTACAGGTTTAAATGGGAGTCCAAAACTATTATTAAGAGTTGTGCCTGAAGGATACCCTATGATTAATTTTGCTCTGACATCCATTATTCTTTGTATTGTCTCATTTAGACTATTTGCAACTACAAATGCGACACGAGGTTTTCTTATTCCACACAAGGCATCTAACTATATTTTGAGAACCAATTTGTTATCAGCTGCTTTATTTTTATCTTGCTTGTATGGGATTTCTTTCTGTATTTATCTCATAGCTTCGAGAGAGGCTTAAGAGGAATATATATAAGGATTATTTTTCTTTCACTGTGCGAACTTGGTTTTCGAGGAGGAAAACCATCTTTTTTTGTCATTGTTTTTTTCCCCTTTCTTTGTTTTTTTTTTTTTGCTTTTCCGACTCGTAAGCGCCTGTGATGCAACTGATATTTAACGCTTCTTTTCTTAACATAGTATATGAAGAGTAGGAGGGAGGTAGTGATGATGATCATGACGCGAAAAGATTTCTTTGTTTTTTTCTGATTGCTTTTTCGGTACGGTCTTCTGTGCATTTCTGTAATTCTTACTGGATGTACAGTTGACATTTTTTTTTTTTTTACTTTATCGATGTCGGTGCGAAATAGTAGTAGTGATCGTGAAATGTTTTTCTTCTGTTTCACGTGTAGAGTTGTCACTGTTACTTTTGGTATTGTAGAATGCTTGGTGGTGACGTCTTGTCCTACTATTGAGTTTCTGAATGGTAATGGAAAGCCTGGTTAAAAGTTGTGAAAAGACTGCTCGAGTAGAAGCTAAAAATATATCTAAAAGAAAAATGTAAGGAAGCGTTTTGTTTGACTGGTTTTATTTTTCTCACACACACACACACTCTCTCTCTCTTTCTCTTTCTTTTTTCTCTTTTTCTTTGGTAATGGTATGTGTGATGATGATGTTAGATTGGGACCTCATGTTATTGTGATGTGTTTCCTGCTGTACTGCTGCTGTTGCTGCCGTCAACGTGAGGAGACGTCTGTCAAGGAGGGTGCTTCCTTGGAGCGTCAATTTCTCCAGCTGGGCGAGGACCCCTTAATGTGGGATACGCAATTCCGTGATGTCACTTCCGAAGAAAGCCATGACTCGTCCCATTTCCCGGCCTCCCCACCACCATCCCCAGTAGATGTTGAAAAGAAAAAGTCGGTTAAATTTTCAATGCTTAGCCCATTGAATTCAAACCTTCACCTGCATAATGAACCTGGGGTCCCTGTAAGGGGGATCATTAAAGATCCCTCAAGGAACATTGGAAGGCGGTCTAATCAGGTATGAGAACGGTAAAAATTGATTTCACCTTACATCCCGTGTATGGGTCTGATCGCTCTCGTTGTCTTTTTTTTTTTTTCCTTGTCTTCTACCCTTTCTCACTTCTCATTCCAAACTGATAAATTTTATGATGCCAAAATGAATTTTTATTAACTAACGCTATCGCTTGACTTTTTTTTTTTCTGCTTGCGCCGCTCTTGTTGAAATACTCTGGTTTTTTTTTTATCGAAAAGTGGATTGTAGGTGTGTTTTTTTTTTTTTTTTTTTGTTGTTGTTGTTGTTGTTGTTGTTTGTACTTGTTTTGTTGGGCGTTTCCTTTCTAAACTCCACAAAACAAGTCTTTCTTCGGTCTTTTTTTTTTCCTTTACTTTCTTTTCTTTTTTATTTTTATTTTTTCATTCAAAAACACATTTGTTTTATGTTTTGTTCTCATTTTTGATTCTTTTTTGTTATTATTCTTTCTTTATTTCTTTATTTTTTTCCTGATCATCTCAAAATAATTTGATGATGATGATGTGACAAAAAAAAAAAAAAAAAAAAAAAAAAAAAAAAAAAAAAAAAAAAAAAAAAAAACGTAAAGAAAAATAAAAAAGAGATGGCGGGAAAAAAAGGTGGACAAGCAGCAAACGTTTTTGCGCACCCCAACTCGCGAAAGGTAAAGCAAATTCAGCGCCAAACGCGTCGGGGTGAAAGAATAAATAAACAAGAAAAAAAATTACACTCTCAGGAACTTCTTGAAGCTATGCGTTTTTTCTGGTTCAGGGAACAATGTTTGACCCTGGGACGTCTTCGTTCCGCCTTTACCCCTGAGGAATCTCAGGCACTGACGACACTTTATTTGAGTAGAAATGATGAGGAAATTGCGTCCCTAAAGTCTCTACGCAATCCTCCTCTCGGTCGCATCAAAACGATAGAAGCTTTAAAAACGAGTGAGTTTGACGCATTTCATTCTTCCAAAGGGATTGTCATTCCTAATATTGCGGATGAGGATAATGTTGAAATACTTACAGAGATATGGGACGGACGTGCAGATACCGTTACTGTCGTACCACGTTGCTCTTTGTCATTTAATTCATCTTTTTCTACAAAAGTAACAGCCATATTGGAAGATTTAAAAGAAAAACTAAAACCTATAGATCAAGTTCGAGAGGAGGCCACATCAGTTGCACCAAAGAAGATGTTGAAGTTCCTAAAACAGAAACGTACACAATCAGTAAAGAAAATTGACAAATTTGAAGAAGTGGCATTACGTTCCAAGACGCGAGCCGCTGCAGGACAGCAGAAACGTTTAAAAGAAGCCCGAAAGGCTGTAGTAAATTCAAAACGAGCCGATTAAAGTGGTGTTTTTTTTTTTTTTTTTTTTTTTTTTTTTTTTTTT